TGTGCTTTTTGGGGGAAAAAATATATTGTGTATGTCAGTAAAATCTCCTTTACTATTAAATAAAATGTATATTGCTGCTCGTACAGTTAGCAAATAAACACATGAGAAGGCAGCTAGAAGATTAATGACAAAGAAAGAAAGAGGAGCAGAGCTAGAGAAGTATGTAGAGGAGGAATTGCCTCTCTCATTTGCGTAAAGAGGATAATTGGTGGCTGACCCTCTGATGTCCATCAACCTCTACTGAATAGTGAGGTGAGAATGACTAACAATGTTCTGCTGCATCACAAGCTATAAAGCACACTGCAGTTCACACTCACACACTCACACACCCACAAATTCTCATAGACACACATTAAAACCTATAACCTCGCACACAGAGTCTTATTTGTATGTGTAGTACCCACTCACTGGAGTCATCACTCACTAATGCCTGTAATTAGGGCTCTTTGATCAGGCTGGATGAGTACTCAATAAGTACACTGAGTAGTAATAAAAGAGGTTTTGTAGCCATTTGCCGTGTGTGGGGGGTGAACGAGGGTTCATACATTTATTTACTGATCTATTTTCTTTCTTTTTGGTACATGCTGTGGAAAAAAAGTTAACCTGTAAGAACTTGTAAATTAATGTGCTTCTCTGCAATCAATTTTAATATGCAGTGACTTGATCATCTGGGAGTGTTTGATAATGTGAGGTGATTTTCTAAAGGCATGGAAATGTTACTGCCATATAATTAAATACTATCTGTTTGCATATGAGTCAGAGGGAAAACGTGGCACATTTTGAGTTTAAAAACAAAAACAGCCATCATAGTGCAGCATGTGCTCGTTCTCCCGGATAACTCATCCAACAGGAAGCAATATTATACCAAGGACATGTTTGTATGTGCACTGTGGGTGTTGGCATCAAACAGCAAAAGCTTCTCTGTACACAGCATACAGATGACATATAGGCCTGATCAAATATTCTCCAGTGGAAGAAAATGATGCTATAAGGATGCTGTAATTCCAAAGTAAACCAAAAGCTAAACCCAGTGGTTGGCTCTTCTCGGTGTTAACTTGTCTCATTGAGACAGATAAAATCCTAACAGAGAAAAGGGACTGGCTGTCCTATAAGTCGACACCAGATCACCAATTTGTATCTGGACATTTGTGATGAAGTATCAGTTGTAGATGGGATAGCCTATAATCACTGAAACTGCTTAACGACACATAACGACATCCTGATTTGAAAGACAAGATAATAAGACAATTAGTCTAAAAGTCTCGTGTTAGACGTGTTTGAATAAAATGTGTGTGTTTTTTCCACAAATATAATCATTTATCATAATGTTATTTGCCACTTTTACTTGATATGCTTGAAAAAGATTCCCATCAGCCTCAGCTGTGCTTTGAATTTAGTGCTGATCAGCAATTATTAGCAGGATAACACATCTACAATAGTGGCAAAGGTAAACATAACCTTCTGTGCCAAATGTCATTATGCTACCAGTCGGGCTGGGAACCGGTTCACTGATGTTAGACTGGCTACTGCTGGAGGGTAGAGCGAACAGCATGAAGCACAGGCAGACACAGCTGCAAATGATTGTCAGAAGTATTACATGTGCTCCTATAGTGCCTCAGTGCATTTTCACAGCTTGGTCAGTTCCTGTCGACATCTTTATTTGGTTTGGTCATATTTTTTGACAGCCAGCCCAAGCGACTGTCACTGCAGGATGAATAGTAGAATTAAACACGTTGAACATCAAATATTTACCGTTAATGTATTTGTGATTTCAATGTGTTTAGCTTTTTTATTTTTCCATTTCATTTGGGCGTTTTCATTTGCCACTACTGAGAGTTTTAAGGCAGCAGGGTTTGAAATTGCTTCTACTTTCCAGTGACTTTGTGACTGATGGTCAATCAGGCACAAAATTAACAAATCTGCATACAGCACCTCCTACGTTAACATTTAGGCTCAAGTGAATCTGGCCAATAAATAAATAAATAAATAAATAAAACGAAATAAATGTAATTTCTTATCACAACAGGTACTTTACAGTGAGCCTCCTGCACATTTCTCAGCCTAGGTCGCAGCATGCTTAGAGAATCATTAGACTGATAATTGGGCAGACTTGCAGGGCTATTTTTGCTGCTAATGCTTCCATAGCAGGTTGTCAACTCTTAAATCACAAAGGACAGATGGCAAATTTTTCACACTGGGGTTAGGTAGCTACCTCTGAACAACATAGTGTTGATTATTAGACGATGACTCACAATTCCCTGAGGTGAAATAAGTGTGATGATCCTCTAATAATAAAAATAAATTCTGTTATTATTGACGTTCATTGTGTAGACAGGTATGACTATGAGAGGACATGGAGGAATTATACTGTAACTCAAGAAAAGTAGAAAAGATATATTTTAAAAAGATACACTCTTTTTATGTGCGAGATACAAACTCATCAGCGCTGGATATTGTGTTCGTCTCACTTTACCTATTTATCTCGAGTACCAGTCATATATTATATTATGCGTCACAGATAACCTTGACAAAAGGACTAAAGAGTTTATTGATGTACTTGTCAACAAATGCAACTTCTCATGTGAAGCACTGGTAGCGTATATAAAACTGTATGACTGATGATACACCACAGGTGTCGTATACAATGATACTGCACCACACAACCTTTAGAAAAACAAATTTCTCAAAAACTGCCAGAATTTCAGGCCACATCTAGAGTTCATTTGTAGTTTTTAGATGCATCTCATAAAATATTTGAATGTACAATATTTATGATATAAAACACTGAATGAATAAGTCATACTCAAATATGAATGCAGAGTATACTCTAGAAATAAGGCGCTCGGTAAACACATGCAACATTAGGCTGTTGTTCCCTGGGAACATTTATTAAAGCCTTATATAATAATTATTAAGGTAATTGAGGTTTACGACACAGATTACTCAAGCGCATACACTACAGCACATTCAGTTGGAAAAGACAAATGAAAGCAGTATCATCTGAGATGATGAGGGATGCTGCCTCCATCTGCTGAAGAATGACTAGTACTGCAGTTTTCTACGTGAGACGTTAAGCACAACAAGTTATCTGAATAATAAATAATTTTCTGAAGGTTCTGATCGATTTTAAAATCTGTTCCCCAGATTCCCCCTGATTTAAACAAGAAAATGAACATGTATGTGACAAATTTGCCCCTCATGATATACACTACTTTCATTTCTGCTCTTTTGCACTCAGTTTAGATGCATCCTGACTTCTTTAGAAGATGCTTGATTGAGAACAGTGCAAACAGCCTCATTTTAAAAATACATTTTCCTACATTACCCCCAAATGACTAATTTTGTGCTAATATACATTGATTATTGATTATTGTTTGATTTGCATTGTATATGTAAAAACTCTACACTCACTTTCTTGAAGCTGTTTTCATTGTTAGAATCTTATGTCATCAGTTGTGGTAATTCATGATTAACTGCATTGAAAATGCATTGGAAAAGGAAATATTACTGAAATAAAATTCCTGTTCATCATAACATAAAATGGTTAAGCTATAACCCAAAAGCTATACTTTAATTTTGTGTAATATTAAGATGGCTATTTTATTGTATAATGATTTCATTAATGCAAATCACCTGTTGCACATTCTGAATTTGTTCAATGTATTTGTGTAAGTTTTGCATTAACTGTTTAGGAATTACAACAATTTGTATACCGTTTCAGAGGTTCAAAAGCAGTTGGATAATTGACTAATAAACTGTTTTATGACTATGTGAGATTGGTTCCCTCAATGTCTAATAAAACATTTGACAGATAAAAGATCTGGAGTTGATTCCTAATGTCATTCTTTCATTTGGTATCTGTTTACAGAAACGCTCAATATGAAGTTCAAAGAGACGCTGATACAATTGCACCAGCAGAAGCACATTATCACAGAGCTTCACTGTTGATACAGGAAGGCTCTTTCACTGATCAGTATCAAATTTTATTAGGTCAGATCCTCTGATATGTAGCTTCATATAGATTATCTGTATGTGTGTTTATAAACAGTTTTCAGTCAGAAGATAAATATAGAGCAGTCTGTGATAAACATTTTATGATCTTTATCTTTATCAGTTTTCAATGGCAGTTACTTAGAGAAAAAACTCTAACCCTCTGAACATTCAAGTGATGCAGGTTTATCAATCTGACATAACTTTTATTCTTGGGATTACATGGAAATGCAAAGAAAGGATCTTTGACACCAAAGGAAATATATACTTAATTGATCATACTGTTGAATGCAAAGATTATCGTTAAGCTGACAACAGAGCCCAGACACATTTCCTTTCTTCAATTGTTTGCCTGATTTTTCAGTTTGGTTTACCCATGTTTTGAACAAACTAAATGAAAAGGAAATTAAAATGTAAAGGAAATAAAAAGAAAGCACATTTATGTAAGATGTTGAAAATGGCAATCTGTTCTGCAGTTCAGATTTTGATGCACACAAAGGTCATCTTCACCATGACATCCTTTTGTTCTTCATAAAACCATATTTTACATGTTGTTTCACACTAATATGGTGACACTAATTTTTCGTGCGTACCCAGTTAATTCCTTTAAAGTCTTTACTTAGGTGTAATCAAACAGCAGGAATGTGCAAATGCAAATGGTATAAATGGTAAATGGCCTGTATTTATATAGCGCTTTACTAGTCCCTAAGGACCCCAAAGCGCTTTACACATCCAGTCACCCATTCACACACACACACACACACACTGGTGATGGCAAGCTACATTGTAGCCACAGCCACCCTGGGGCGCACTGACAGAGGCGAGGCTGCCGGACACTGGCACTACCGGGCCCTCTGACCATCACCAGTAGGTAACGGGTGAAGTGTCTTGTCCAAGGACACAACGACCGAGACTGTCGGAGCCGGGGCTCGAACCGGCAACCTTCCGATTACAAGGCGAATGCCCAACTCTTGAGCCACGATATTATATTAACATTTTCCACACAAGCATTTAAGTGCAAATAATTTTATTGACATAATGACAAAGACAGAAGACAAAGCAAATCTGAAATCTGTTATTTGAAGGTCTCCTTTATGTAGTGTTGACTGCGTATCTGTAGTTCTCACTCTAATAATATAGATTTTTTTAATTTACATTTTCTACCTACAATCCAAAGGTAAGGTCTGTGAATTGCAGATGACAACTCTGCTGGATGTCATGTTAATGTAACTTTAAAATGACATGATGATCCAGTGATCATCTCATGATGATGACTGAATCATTCAGGTCAAATATGGATTTCTGCTGAGGGACAGGATTTGTAATTATCTGTAATTATCTTGCTCAAGATGCTCAAGATGTTTACTCTATTCTCTTGCTCTTCATGGCCAGAGACTCCATGACAGTGAAGAAATTATGTGGTGTTTCTGTTTCCTCCAGTTCAGAGTTGGCACAGAAATCAGGAGGCAAGTAGTCCATAGGGTTTGAGGTGCCAATTACCCAGTTGAAGGTGCTGAAATTAAAAAAATACAAGTTTACTTGTATGACTAGGTTACCAACATCAAATTCAAAATTTACAGATGGAAAGCAGAGAATAGAACATCGTAACACTTCAGTATCTTAACTTTTGCATGGTTCAGGGTCAAAAATCCAAAACAGGTTCTCATACATATGATTCTGTTTTCTACTGTATAATATAATAATATGATATGTGTTTGCATTATATTGTGAGACATACTGTAATAAAAAGAAATTCCCTCTCAAATCTAAAATGGTTGCTGAAGTTGTTTTTAATATCATTAGCACAGTTTTTGTTCCATTTTGTCTGTTTTAGTTTTATATTACTGTGACAAAGTGGGTGGAGCGTTTGCACACTTTAACACTCACCATTTGTCTTATGCGTGTTAATTTTACACACAACATTATATTGTTTTGCCTGCTTGTGCTTATTTGCTGTGGTTTGCCAATCCTAAGGTAACATTGCTTCACTTTGTGTGTGTGTTAAATTTGTGGTTAACATCAAAACAGTTGATCAAGTTAAAAGAAATACACACACATACATTTTCAAGTGTCTTTTATAATGTTCAATTTTTAAAACAATTTTTTCCCCAGGATCCATGCAGGTCAAGTATCTTGTTACTTTTATAGTGCTGGTGATGTCATGGTTGACATCACTGGGCCAAACCAAGTTGGGAAGGGGGGGGGGGGGGGGTCTTTCTGTAGGAAGGCTTGTTTTAAATGGATTTGTTAAGAATATTTGAATTATTATTGAATTTTTAATCATTTATTTATAGGGAACCATTTAGCCATGAAATTGAGCTAGTGATAAATTACTGAGTGTTATGTGTTTCTCAGATGTTCATGTTGCTTTGTAGTTTTACTGGCTTACCAGCTATTGGTATATCTGGACTAATTGGCTGTGTAGACTTCAGATGGGGAGAGGTGTGCTGTGTGTGTTGTGTGCCTGTCATGTTGGTTAGTATATATTAATTTATGGAATTTCATTTATATCTAAGTTTCATATGTCATGTAGAATACTGTAAATCTTATCTAATCTACCCTTTTCTCATAACTCAACTTTTTTTGCTGAGTCTGTCTACATACCTTCCCTTTACATTCGAGACAGACTCTCTTACAGTTACCTGACAGTGAGCCACCCAGATTGTGGAGTATAGCTTGTGAAGGACACAGGGATGCAGCCGATCTCAGTAAAGACAGTTGAATAAAAGCCTGAAAACATAAAGTATAAGTTATATGTAAACAGGCTACCTGAGTGGCATAAATGAAAAAAAGTGTTATTTTACATTTACTAAATTCACTACTATTTCTTTTTATTTTGTCATAAATAGGAATTTACACTTCTTGTCACTATGCTCGACATGCATGCACAGGCAAAGGTAATTTGGTCGTAGTTGGTAGTACATTGGTAGTACATTGGCTTAACCTAATAACTAGTAGGATAGAAAGGTTTATTGTAACATACTGCCAATCCTTTACTACAATGTCTACTTGAAATTACCAATCAGTGTGTACATTTACACAAAAATAAATTAAAATTTATCTTCCAAAATAATGAAAATGGCACATAGCACTAGTGGTAGTATTCATGGCCTTTCAGCCTTAGAATTAGTACAGAACACATTTATTTTTGCTTCTTCTTACCATTTTCTGAAAGACTGCCATACCAGGTGTTGGTTAGCACACCCATTCCCCAAGAGGAGGAGGAGCCCATGAACACCTGACCCATCAGTTTAGCATCAGGGGGAACTTGCATGGGAATGAAGGAGGAATCCAGCTTCATCTTCTTGCAAGAGAGTGTTTTCCAGTTGGACTCGTAATAGACCCCCTGAAAAGATGAACAAAGAGAGTGAATGCTCTTTGCCTGTTCACATCTTGGCTTGTATGCTGCCACTGTAGTATTGTAGCCAGCACGGTCTTATAATATGTTTGCATAAATATCAGTGTGTTTTTGTCATTTTATACTTTCATTTTATTTTTTCAAATGTCACA